AATTTCGATGAAATGCACAATGAGTCGTCCCTCTGCGTGCTTCAGCGAATCGGCTTTTGAAATGCTACTGATTTGGACGTCAAAGTGCATTTATTAAAGAAAAGTTAGACTGAGACACACCTTTGCTATAATTCTGAGCAAACAATTGTTTTTAAGTGTTAATCTTGTTAAAGTCCTCCTGTGCACGCTCCCGCGGCTGCCATTTGGCAGCCAATCGATTTTTGGCACAACACTGGTCCAGATTTCTGGGTTCAGTGGTGACGCGTAATAGATGCGACTAATACGGCGAAGCGACGTATTTGTTTTTTCCACTTTATAAGACATATTGGACTGATGCGATTTTTATGGCGGTGTGACGTGTACGGCAGCAAGTACAGCAATATATCTCTTTGTTCAAACAGCTGACATCACTTGCTGTCAGCTACTGAAAACTTTAGGCCTGCACAAAATATTTTTTTTTATCATTTTATCAAAGTCATCCCATTTTCTGATGAGGTGCTGTTGTGTGTTTTTGCAACATTTAATTCTCAAAGTAAAAATGGCACATCTACCTACAAATACAAGTCATGAAATAACTTCTTTTTACCCAGTGCTATAAAACATGTTTAAAAAGAGCCTGCATTTGGATGATTTGATCCTGAACATTTTCAGACTTGCAACACTCTATGGCTGCTGAATAACAATAGTTTCCTCCCTCTTGGCTTCAAATGATTACTCCATTTCCTTTTATTATCTGATCCCCAGACCCAGGCTGACCCTGCTGGAAGAGGTGTGAGGGTAAGCGTTTTCAGATGTGGATCAGTGACGGGGCCTTCGGTGAGAGCGGTGCCCTGCAGGGCAGAGGCAATTGACGCCCCCACCTCCCCTGCCTCCTGCCTATTTTCAAATTCTCAGCTCACCATGGCACCCATCCAGAGACCTCCTCAAACCCCTGCCAGCGGGGCTGCCCAGCAGGCCGCTGAAACATAAGAAGCAAAGACCTGGGTTCACTTCATTACTTGTCTGCAGGGTGGTGGTGCGAGTAAAATGAGCGTCCTTCAAACTGGAAGTCCTGCACACAAAACTTCATGACAGCAAAACGCTGCAGACTCTCCGAGGTGTCCTTGAATGTCTGAAGCCTTACCAGATGTTACGCTGGTGCTACAGACCAAAGCTCTAAAAGAGGTGTTAGTAAAGACTTAATCCAACCTGAGTTAAACAGTTTACCTTATTTGACGGGTTTGACACAGAGAGATACGTTCAATAATGTGAGCAAATAAAGCCAAGTCTACCACTTCAAAGTTCCTGTAAAGTTTTTAATTTTACAATTTGTGTATTTATAACCCAGCAGATCTGCAGAGCACAAACAAGAGCCCCAAGAATGAACAAAACAACTTTCAGCGGGACTGATTTCATCCTGGACTTGAACATTTTAATTGCACACATGCAATAAATATATCTGCACATAAACTTGTTTAATATGAAAGCTGAAGGACACGAGGATATTTGTGTTTTTTCGCAATGTGACACTGCCTATTATAAACACTGATGTCAAGCCACATGAAAGAGTCCCAAGAGTCGTAAATGTTTATGTGTTTGCATAATTTAGAGGAAGAAATGGCTTAAGCAGTTACAGAAAGGCTGTTCTAAAAGTCTGGTCTGTAGCAAAACATCAGAGTGGTCAATTTTCTGAAAATAAATGAATTTAAGACAAGATAACTATCATTTTCTTCCACACAGCTAGCAAATTCGCCGGCTCCAGTGACGGGTCAGCTCCGTCCTTCCATCCAAGCGTCAGCTTCAAAAGTGCTATGGCAGATAAAGTGAAGTCGTCGTACTTCAGACTGGAGATGAACGAGACAAGTTCTAAAAGCTTTAAAAGGCTGAAGACAGAATTATCTCCAACAAACGAAGTAAATGAGTGGTTTGTACACTGCATAGTTTCATTGGCTAATCACAGCAGCACAAACACGATGTATGAACATGTAAGTGAGGTAAACGGAGTTGTTGATGCGGAAGCAGAATGAACAAGCGGCACCCGACGCTCCCGGTCACTGGGAGATTTGAATAGTGACTGATTGTAGTGTTGGAGATGAGTGTTCTTCTTGGCTGGAACTGAACGGTGTTAGATATTTATCTAGACTGGTCCTGGGGTTTTTGATCTGCTCAGAGACGGGATATATACCTATCAAGGAACAGAGTTTATTTCTGCTTGCTATATCGCGTAGAAAGGCTTTTGAAGCACCATCTCCTATTTTCTTACACGTCAAATCATGTAAGATCCATTGAGATCACACTTAGTCACGCCCCCTCAAACACAAGACCGGTTGAGCTCCCCTTCTGCGAAGGAGGAGTCGGGGCCCTATAAATGAGTAATGACACAGGACATCTGCTCTTCCGGTTTGTGATCGCGTCATAGACTGGACTGGCCTGCGCTGTAAATTGTTTCCTTTTCCTGCCTTGATTTGAATACAACTGGTAAAACTGAATTCATGTTTCCTTGATTTATTGTTAGTGTGAGATGCCGCTTCTGAGGGAGGTTCGAGCCGGGGGGAGCGACGTGAGCTGGAGGCGGGTCCTGAGTCCGAGAGGAGGCCTGAGGCCCACGGCTAGCAACGGCTAGCTGCAGTGACCGGTGACCCGTAGCTAGCCCTCATCGTAACAACAGTGAATGTGAGTAAACCTTAATGTTTTTGCTGCAAGACATTCAAGTGGGTAGGAGTTGCATTGTGTAGAACAGAGGTCACTAATAGGCGGACCTCGGTCCGAATCCGGACGAGCAATGGTTCCATCCGGACCCGTTCCCGATAAATTCAGGAAAATAGATCATTTTCATGCAGCATTTTTCCAGAGTCAAGCAGAGACATGGGAGGTGTTTTGTGGGTTCACTCTACTTCAGGTGTTACTGTAATAGTGTCACTCTGAATGAGCCAATCGAATCTTGAGTTTTCCCTGCACAGCGAGCTCTCGCCAGATTAGAGCCGAGGAGGAGCGGAGAGGAAGAGACGGCATGTCGTGCTCCAAAATAAGAAAAGTTGATGCTGAAAGCTGCTGTTTTAAAGATGAACAGAGAAATTATTGTTCATTCTTCCGGCAGGCAGCTCAAAACCTGTTTGCCTCATATGCACCGAAACGGTTGCATTAATTAAAAGTGGCAACGTGAAGCGCTCTTCATTACATTTTTTGAGCAACGTTATCTGCTGAAGTCTGAGCAGAGAGCAGCAAATTAGCCGAACTGCAAGCCCTGTATGACAGACCGACCCTACATCACAAATACTTTTACAGCCCAACAGCTGCTGAATGCTCACTCAAGGTATTGTGGATTTTGGAGCAACATAAAGAAACATTTAGTGATGGGACAGTCCTGAAGGAGTGCTTAAATGTTGTTGCTGCGATATTATTAAACGGAAAACAAGAAGAAGAGATGTGTGAAAAAAATCAAACAAATCCCGACGTCAGCATCAACAGCAAGAAGAAAATCAGAAATATTAGCAGATGATGTTCTGGCACAGCTGCAGCTGTTCAGAGCCACTGCTGAGTCTACAGATGTTACTGATAATCTTCAGCTACATAAGAAAGACTCGGATTCCATTCTAACCAAGATTTAATTTACTGGCAGGACAATCCTATGTCCATTTCTCTCATTAAGAAAAGTAAAATAAATAATTAGAAGAGAACAGGTGGTGTTAAATGCTCTGTTTTCAGTTGTTTCCTAAAAGAGCCATTTTTATTTTCTGAAGTGTTTTACTTGAAAACTTAAAATTTTTATAGGTTGGTGCCTCTTTAAGCAAAATAATATATATTTTATTTGCTCTGTTTACACTTTTTTTATATACTAAAAGAGCCACTTTTTAAAAAATTGTTTTCTAAAGATGTTAACTTTTTTACTTTAAGTGTAAGCCTTCAATTCTTTAGGCTTGGACTGCTTCAATGTAAGAGAAAGAAGGCTCAGTTTGCACATTTAAGATGTATTTTATTCTGAGCTTTCTGTTTTAATCTGAAATAAAGGCCCTAAAGTTATTTGTCTGGGACTACTTTTAAATATGGTAAAAGAGCTTGTTGTTTACTCTAAAGTGCCCTTAACAGTGAAAATGTGAATACAGGTAGACAAGACCATCAAAGACAAACAGACCTTTTAGTTCAGACCTTTTACTAGGAGGGAATTTTAGTAACTGGACCTCAGCGAGTTTTAATTGAATATCCCTGGTGTAGAAGAACAGAGGTATGTTAGGGGTGTTTTCTGTTCGTCCGCGGCGGGACAGAGTGACGAATCCTGGTGAGCGGAGGGAGCAATTTTTGTGTTCAATCCCACAACAAGGTGCAATGACAGAGCTAGTGGGTGGCCAATGATGGCCTTGGCCACCATAGATGAATCTTTAGCCACCCCAAGGTCCACCCCAGTCATTTGAGGAAACTAAACATTTACGCAATATAAAAACTAAAAAGCATAGTTTCCTCAAATGACAGAGGTGGTCAGTTCACACACACACACATACATATTTGGTGGTGTCCATCTTGGATTTTGATGTGGCAACCCAATTTCAAAAAGGAACCTTTCTCACTCCTAGACATTGCCACACACCAAAACAAAATTTGGTACCTCCCTTAGTTTTCAAGTTATCGTGTTCAAAACGTGCACGGAAAGATGCACGCAAGGATGCATGCACGAACACGTGGACAGATAGAAGGTATTTCCAATTCCACTTCTTCTCTCCGAGTAAGGGACAACAAAGCCAATAATGTGAACAAATGTAAAGCAACCATAATATGAAGGGCACCATAATAAAAGTAGTCACATTTAAGGTTTAGGTATGAAACTTCAGCATTAGTTGCACTTATTTTTGTTTAGTGCATTTAATTTATTTGGAAATATGTAATTATTTTCCAAGCTGAAAGTTTTATTAGTCAACTATGCAGGTAAACGCTCCCATTTTACCTGTAATTCTCAGCAGCTTGATGATCATTTCAGATAATATTTTAACAGTCATCATCCTCTTGTGTCTTATTGGCTAAATTCTTACCTCGTTGCCAAGCAGAGCAGAGATGCAGGCTTCAGAGGCATCGCATATGGCTTTGAGGTCGTGACCCCCCTCCAAGGCAAGCACCAACCGACTGCCCGCCAGTCCCATCAGCTGCCTGGTCAGGTAGCCAAAGCCTGAAAACCAAAGGAAATGACAGCGAGGAGAAGGAAAGAAACAAAAAGTAAGAGAGGGAAAAAAGAAATGAGTGAAAAATGCAGCTGAGCCTATAACTTCCTTTTTGGATTTTGATAAAAGGAAAAACAAATAAACCAACAAAAAAAAAAGGTACGGATGAAGCATCAGAAAGTGGAAAAGAGGAAAAAGAGAGCTCTGCGGATTTTCTGGAGGCCAAAAAAACAAGCCCTAATCTGAACCAGGTTTAATTTTAATAAATATGGCCTTGCGTTTAATCTGTCTCAGCCTTTGATGTTTTTCCGTTCAGGAGGAGGGAAGCTCAACTATATGCATTCAATCATACTTTATTCCCACTGAATTCTGGTCCATCTCCTCTTCCTATAATCCTCTCTAAACCACCCATAGACCCCGGCTCTTATTTGGGATCTGCGTGGCGGTTTCTGAAAAGCTCTTTCCTGGCACAAGAACATCTCTGTCTGAAGACAAGTCAATAACAAATGTTTGATCCGATTTTAAAACTTTGAATAAATTGCTTTATAATAAAAAGCTTTACTGAACTGCATCAATATGATTGGTACTTACATTTGCCTGTCAGTTTGTATCCTCCCAAGGGTGGGGCATGTCCATCTACAGCATCGAAGCCTGAAGACACCAGAACGATGTCTGGGGCAAACTCATTGGCGATGGGCATGACCACCGTTCTAGAGTGAGAAAGAGACAAAAAAAATAAATAAATAAAAATGAATAAAAGCTATACTTTTTCACATTTCCTTTTTTTATATATTGCATTTGGGTGGAGTTTGCATGTTCTCTCAGTGCATTGGTGGGTTTTCTCCAGGTACTCCAGTGTCCTCCCACAGTCTAAAAGCAAGCATGTTAGGCTGATTGGTAACTAAATTGTCCCTAGGTGTGAGTGAGAGAGTGAATGTTTGTCTAATTTGTTTCTTTGTGACCATCTGTTGGACTTGTGACCTGTCCAGGGTGCACCCCGCCTCTCACACAGTGACTGCTGGATATGGGCACCAGTGACCCCTGTGACCCCAAAAAGGAAGAAACCGGTAAAGATAATGGATGGATGGAATTTGTAAATCTGCCTTTGTCTGGCAAAATAAGATAAGAGATCCAAAGTCCATTGATCCATTTTCTGCTGCTTATCCATGGTCTGATTGCATAGAAAACAGGTCCAGGAGAGAACTCCAGACATCCCTCTGACCTCTACCCAGCAAGACTTTAGACCTCCTTCTGGGGATCCCAAGATGTCAAAGAGGATACATGTTCCCTCCAGCAAGTTCTGGGACTCCCCTTCCAGCAGACATTCCTAGAAAACCCCCAAAAAGAGGTGCCCATGAGGCATCCTAATCAGTTGCTCAAACCACCTCAACTGATCCATTTCAATGAGGGGCAGCAGTTTTATTCCGAGCTCCTCTGTAGAATTTCCATCCCCGTGACCCTGTGAGCTATGGTATCTGAACAATCTGCCACTAGTAGGGTCTTCCATTGCAAACACCAAGGAAGGAATCCCGTTTGGAGCAACTTAAAGAACTTGATGGACAACCAACAAATTCATCAGGATACTTCATCTGGAAAGGGAAAGCCAGGTCGCCATCCAAAATCTTGTTTTACAGTGAGTGATAGGCTCACTTAACGTTTCTTTTACAATATTTCCCTCCTATTCAAGCTTTTTCCAAACAAACATCCACAGATTACGTTTATATGTAGGCTTAGTGTGTGGCAGGAATAATTTCCACAAACGTTTGAAGTGGAAAGCCTGGAAAATTGGAGGCAGCGATCCACTCCACAGTCCCAAAGTAAAAAGGAGGATGGATATAATTGCATGTGTGCACGTGTGTTAATTATGGAGGATAATTCTAACACTGGATGGGTGTGGTGACTGAGGGTTGTTTGTATACAAACTTCATTTGGCACACAACTGGTGAGCAAAGACAGAAAAATCTACCGGTAATCAACACTGGGATTCTGTGCAATGATTCACTGCGAGCTGTGGCTGGAAACTTCTTTGGAGTTTACTGGGTCATACTGGTTGAAGTTAAAAGGAACCAGTTTTGTAATGAACATAAAAATAGGATTATTCATTTACCTTTTAATTTAGGCACATTGGTCCATATCATAAAAGATGCAAACAAAACAATAAAGTTATGCATGCAAAAATTTCATTGAATAAAGCTATTTTAATGCAGACAATTATTTCAATGATTCCAAAATTTTGAACAATATTTTGCATTATTTAATGTATTTATTTTCTTTAGTTTTAACCTGACTTTGTACTCTGACTAAATAAGTCTCCTGCATTTTATTTTTTCCCCATTTATTCTTAAAATCTGTCTTTATAATTTATTTTGCACAGCAATAATTTTTGTTTATCTACTATACAACAATTTTCAGTCAGGTCATCTGGACAGTTTCTTTTTTTTGCTGAAACGTTTTCACCTTCCATCCAGAAGGCTTCATCAGTCAAGGAAACATACAAAACTGATTCTTCCCCCAAACAGCTTACTCCAAAGTGGAACAAACCAGTTATGTTGGTGCTAAGATGGTGTCTTTGGCACGCCTCCTCCTCAGTTGCAGGCCATCTTCCTCATCGACAGTCATGTCAAACTGGTTCAAAACCAAAAAAGTCTGATGAAGCCTTCTGGATGGAAGGTGAAACGTTTCAGCAAAAAAACCGGTCCAGGTGACCTGACTGAAAATTGTTGGATTGTATACCTGGATTATTGAGCATGGACTTTTTTGGTTTATCTACTATAGTTGTGCACTTTCATCTGTTCATCTTTTAGGTCAAACTTTGTTGGTTCTTTACAAAAAAGGTTTGAATACAGTCAAAGCCTTTAGAAATATATATTTTGCATGAAGCGATGAATACTTTTTTTTTGCACAGTTAATTTTTTTATAGACAGAAAAAACATTTTTACCAATAATGGAAGTCCAAAACCAGAACATTTCTTGAGTATTTTAAAAAAACATGAGCAGCTTAAAGGAATTTATGGCAATGCCATGTCATAAATATGTTTTCATGAAGAAAAACAAAATCTGCACAATTGTTTTCTCATATCAATAGATAATGTGTCCTTGAGTTAATGCAATCATAAGCTAAATTTATGAACGGCTGCCAACTACCAAGTGCTTGTTTACCTACAGAAACAGCAGAAGTGACTGAAAATAGGTCAAAAATGGCAATGTCCATGGACGAGCCGTTTGGGATAGAAAAATAAAGAGTTTTGATGTATTAATAAGTATTTTCACTCAGATTTGTTGACTAATTTATTCAGATAAAAGGGCTGTATTTACAATGAGTGCCAACTATTTTAAACTGCACTGTTTGAATAAGTTCAAGATAACCTTTTTTATGTTTGATTTCATGGTTGGCAGTGAGTATGGTGTATTTTTATTTGAATTTTTTTTAAAAGTGCTTTTAGTCTAATTTACAGTAGCAGGTTTCACTTGGCTTGTACACAGTTGAACTTTCCAGCTGGCAAACAAGTGTTTTTCTCTGATTCTGACTCTGCACAACAAATTTTTATTTTAGGTTTTTGGGTTATATGGGCAAGTAGTGTTTTGGTGAGGTTTTTGAGTGACGGAGTACCACAAGGTTCTGTTGTAGGTCCCCTGCACTTTGCTGACCTCAGGAACATGGTTGCTGGTTCGCTGGATGTGGGCAGGCAGCTTACCCTGAACTCCGTAGGCCACAGGTTTTTCCATTTCTTGCTCACCGCCTAATTACAGCCCTGAGCTGAGCTCAACCCTTCCTCTGCCCCCCACCATTACAACACAACACTCTAAAAAACACACAGCTGTCTGAGGAAGAGGTGGAACGGAGCTTTAAGAGGTTTTTGGGAGTCCCAGACATGCAGCGCGTGCGTCACTGTACTCTTGAGAGGATCTGGCAGCATGTCAGGGAAAAACGTCATGCATGGAAGATGAAAGAGCTTTACTGAGAACGACTGATGGAGAGAGGGAACAGACAATACTGAGACATGAAGAATATCAGCTGTATTAAATAATTTACCCACAACCTTAGTCTATTAACATTTGAGCCATAAAATACCTCACACTTAATAACAGGAGTCAGCAACAGACATGCAGAAAAACCTTGACTACCAAGGACACCTAAACCACTGACAGCTTCCACACCTCCTCCACCAACCTTGAACACAAACAGAAACGGTTCTGGTTTGTGAAGGTGAATACTGCTGGTGTCATCAGTTCCAGACCCCACCCATAGGAATAATACCCAGACATTTAAGGAAATAACTAGCCACAGCGATCAATTAGCAGACTGGCAAAGAAGGAAGCCAGTCAGCTTTGAGGAGAACTAACGGGTCGTGAATCAGAGGCTACGTTTGGAGAGATGAAAAGGACACTTTGTTAATTATGGGAGACTTTACGACTAATCCACATGTAATAGAACATCCTGAGCAAAATGGGTTACAACCTTTTAAAATGGTCGGCTCACACCCAATCCGATTTTAACTGAGATTAGAGTCACTTGTCCGTTGCATAGCATCATCTGTTTGGGGTTGTTTGGTTTACCTAGCAACAGGTTTACAGTATTATTTGTGGAGTGGTAGGCTTGTGTTTATGTACTTGGAGAGTTCAAAAATATGACTTTCAAGTATTAGACATAAAGTACAGAAGTAAATCTTTGTTTCAATGCTGGTTTCATCATGCATGACTTGTTAATATCAAAATTATCGCACAATAAATTAATTCTCCTCTATCTTTCAGAGTCAGGTGGAGGAAGTGTGATCTGTCCTTTAGAGGGAGCAGTTTTATCTAAACCAGCAAGTGAAAGGTTAAACTGTAGCGCTTGAAGGCTTTCCCCCTTCGTTCATTAAAAAAAATAAAAATGTAGGAGAAGACGAGAGTGAAAAACTCACACACGCACACTTACACTTCAAAGCCCTGTCATCTGGAGCTGCAGAGAGCTGTTTTGAATTAAATTTAATTCTCCGGCTCTCTCTTCTTTCCAAGTTCATGGCAAAGAGGGGGACTTGGAGGAGGAAAGGTGGGGGAAGGGAAAATAAAGGGGAGAAACAGAGAGGGAGAGAGCGAGAGGGACGATGCTTCTGGTTTTCATTAGAGCCAATTTTCTTATCTTTTTTCCTTTTCTGTTCTTTCTGGAGACTCAAACTTGATCCCCAGTAAATGCAACGTGGCACAGGCCAGCAGAGGAATGGGAAGGTGATGGCTGCAAGGCATGCACCCCCTTTTACCCCACCTCCCCGAAATGGATAGCGAGGATGGAAGGAGGGGGAGGAGAACTGTACACTGTACACACATAAACTATCAGTATCATGTGGTTGAATATGTGGAAGTGCAGTGATTCTCTGTAAAAACTGTTTGAATGTTTGGCACAGTAATGTATTTCTTTACTAAATGTTTGGAATAAACCGTCTAAAATGTTGGTTTCCAAAGTTGGGGTCGGGAGTCCACTGTGGGTCTTGAAACACCATTTGGGGTCTTGATATGATCTCCAGGACATGATAAAAATTAAATTGAATGATATCTGGATCTTGTTCCAATTGGGGGACAAAAGAAAAAAAAATGGTAAACACGAATTTAAAAAAATGCTCAATAGATGTTTTGTCATAAAGACCTTGTTTAGGTCATACCGTATTTTCCGGGCCTATAAGTCACACCGGAGTATCAATCAAAAACTTTATTTCAGACACACATGGTCCATACTAGTAAA